TTTTTTGAGACAGAGTCTCATTGTGTCACCACACTGCAGTGTAGTGGTGCAATCTTGGCTCACTGCAACCTCTGCCTCCTGAGTTCAAGCGATTCTCCTGCCTCAGCCTCCTGGGTAGCTGGGACTATAGGTGCACGCCCTCATGCCCAGCTAATTTTTTTATTTTTAGTAGAGATGGGGTTTCATCATGTTGACCAGGATGGTCTTGATCTCTTGACCTTGTGATCCACCCTGCTTGGCCTCCCAAAGTGCTGGAATTACAGTTGTGAGCCACTGTGCCGGCCCAGAGAGACTTTGGCAACTTTGAGTGCAGATGCATTAGGTGTGTAAAGCCTTCTTTCCAAGATGCAAATAGGAGACCCCTGGGGTAAGGAAGTCCTCTATGTTGAGCAAGGAAATTTCAAAGCGAGTTCATATATTATTGTAGAGAATGCTAGCATATAAGAAGGGCTTATTGGTTACTGCAGACTAGGTGCTGGTTTTGAAATTTCTATGCTGGTGTAATGTTGGGGTTTAGGGGTTCAGGGTGCCCTCAGCTCCCCTGAGAGGATGTTTCTCCAGGTTCTCGGTCTTCTGCCCTTCCAAGAATGAGAGAGGGGACCATGGCACAGTGCGCAGTAAATGCTGGACCCAAAAGTATTTGTAGAAAGTGATTTTATTTAAAGAGAGAGAAATAGGAAGAGAGAGAAAGAAACAGCTAACTCTCACACTGAATGAGAGAATCCAGAAAGATGGAATCCAGGAGAGGAAAGCAGCTTCCACACTGAGTGGAAGGGAATAGAGAGAGAGACGGAGTTTCAGAGGAGAAGACAGTTTTCCACGAGAGTGGGGAAGGGCGCCCCCGAGGGGAAATCCAGGTGAGAGAAAGATGGCTTCCACGAAGGGAGTGTTCCTGGAAGGGGACTCAAAGATGGAGTCCAAAGGGGTGTGGAAGAAGGGGACTTTTAACCTGGGAGGAGCCCCCACTTCTCTAAGACCCCAGGCCAATGAAAGGAGTTCCTTAGAACTTTCCCTGGAGTGATTGACTCTTAGTTTCTTCCGGAGCTCAAACAGAAACCATTAAATCTCCTGGATGGAGAGAGATGGGAGGGGAGCATGGTGCTGGGAAATTCTTGCCCTTAAAACTATGCCCCCTTGTGGACCGGGAAGAGAACACATTCCCTCACTGGGCAAGGAGTGTGAGATCTCCTACGGTTTAGTCTTTGGTTTTGTGATGGAGAGTTGGGAAGATCCTCTCTTTCTCCTTCAGTTCTGGGAATAGGATCATAGCAGCAGCAGCATGAATTGGACATGAAGGAAGTGGTCAGCTGCTACATTAAAGTATTAAAGCGTTAAAGGTGCCTCTAAAAAGAATTTGTAGTTTACTTTCTTTCTACCTCTCATTCAATGAGAACCCATATGTAAATTCTAACCCTTACTGGTATTAAAAGAGGAAGGCAGCAAGTGGATTGAGAAGAGATGATGCAGAGGTTGCAGTGGGTGTTACCCGGCCTGTGGCCTTGGTGGTTAGCAGAATCCAAGGAGGCCAAGGAAAGACGTTTTCCTTTGCATTGTGCAATCACTGTTTGATTCTTTCTTTGGTTGATGGAGGTTCAGAAAGCTGGTAGGGTTTATACTGAGAAGGAAGAGGGAAGATAGGTTGGCCAGGTAGGAAGAAGCCAGACTCTGGAGAGCTTTGAATATCAGTTAAGGAGATTAGATTTGATCCCTGGGGGACAGGGAGTTGCTGAAAGCCTTTGAGCATGGAAGGATGTTATGTTTACTTTTCCAGATCATTCTGGAGGCTGTAGGTGGGGAGGGAGGAAAGACTGAGAGGTTGCAGTGGGCTGTGAGGTGGGCAGAGGCTGGATTTGTGAAAAAGGAAAAGGAAGAATAAATCAGGAAAAACACATAGGTTAGGGCAGGATTTTAGATTCTTCACAAGTCTAGCTCAGCTGAAGGATTCCCCTCCACTGTAGGCTTACTCTGGCAAGGATTTGCAATTGGATGTAGAGGTTTTTAACCTAGGGCAGATGCTGTCTAACCATGTTAGAAACATCCAGAGAGTTTTTAACACATGCTCATGTCTGGGCTTCACCTGACCATCAGACATGATTCGTCTGGAGGAGTTTCTCAGGCAGGGTTCAATTGAAGAAGCTTACCTATACATGAAGGGGTCTGTTACAGGAATTTGAGCATATGCAATTGTGGGAGCTGGGTAAGGAGTCTCTGTAAGATGTTGTCTTTGTGTTTGATGCTGAAGCTTGAAGGACAGGACAGGCGCACTGGAAGAAAAGAAGGATGTGAAGTGGGGGATGGATGGAAAAAGTAAGAACCAGCTGGGGCCCATGATGATGGATTAAAATCCATGTAAATTCCTGTTGCCTCTGACCTAGATGGTGTGGTGTCCTGCAGAAACTGGGCCCCTTTGTCACAAGGCTAAGAACATTCACCTGGCCCAGGTACAGGTCTGGTTGCTGGTTTATGCCAACATGATGAGCCAACAGATAAGCGACAATGTATGAGGGCTATGAAGTGGATGTTGCTTTACTTCTCACCCCCAAAATTGCCCCCAAATGTCTTCCTTGGTCCACCCTAACCAGAAAGGGAATTCTGCGAAACATTGTTTAGCCTAGCCAAGTTTACTTGTTACAAAGCCTGAGCATGATCTTCACGTGCAATGCTTGAGAACCAGTAACTCAGGTGATTCTGAGGCGGAGGTTGACAGAGCCTTACCAGCCGTTCTGAAATGCACCCCTGCTCCCCTGAGAGGCACTCACTTAATGTAGCAGAAAAGAGAGGGAGAGATCAAATACCATGGAGAATACTGAAGTGTTGAACTGTGAGGTATGTTGCAATGGGTAAGGAGGAAGGAAGTGATGAAGCAATGGAAACCATGGATCTAGAGCATGCTTTTGAGAAGTATGTCAGTAAATGCAAAGAAAAAAACAAAACAAAACAAAAAGGCAGTTAGAGGAGTTAGCTAGATCAAACAAGCACGTTCACGTTTATTCTCAAGTACAGGGGAAGAGTCAGGCTTGACTTCTTGTCCCTGTGGGCTTTTTCAGCCCTTTGCTTGTTTCTTGTGCCCTGGTTCTCAGGATTCCACAGTCTGTCTGGTATCGCAGAGCCTAAGCTTGCCTTAGGCCATATGGGGTAACGGAGGAACGTGGGGACCATCTTTCACTTGCCCTCAGGTCACGACGGTTATGGAGTGTTTCATAGAGAGGAGCTCAACCTGTAGTTTTTGAATTGGATTAAAATGAGAAGAGAGGATTTAGCAGATAATGATTGAAACTCTTGAGGAAGGAAAGGGCTGGAAACAGAGTCACTTAGGATACAGAAAGCATAACGTGTAGTTCAGTAGGCTGTTTGGCACTTTCAGAGGAAAATATGATGGAGCAATTTGGTTCACATGCATTTTATAAATTTGGCATATAAATTTAATGATTATTTTCACAGATGTTTTGTTTTAGTCTTATTATAACATTTACACTGCTTGCACATGCACTAGATGACTACATTGTTTAGTTTATCCATGTGCTAACAGTCAGAAAACAGGATAAAGTTTATGGCATATCTTCATATAAGTTGTTTGTTGTCTGATAAATTTACATTTTTTTGTTGTTATTATGCTTGGTACGGTGGCTCACGCCTGTAATCCCACCACTTTCGGAAGCCAAGGTGGGTGGATCACCTGAGGTCAGGAGTTAGAGACCAGCCTGGCCAACATGGTGAAATCCCGTCTCTATTAAAAATAGAAAAAATTAGCTGGCTGTGGTGGCGGATACCTGTAATCCCAGCTACTCGGGAGGCTAAGGCAGGAGAATTGCTTGAATCCTGGTGGGGCAGAGGTTGCAGTGAGCTGAGATCGTAGCATTGCACTCCAGCCTGGGCAACAAGAGCAAAACTCTGTTTCAAAAAAACAACACCAAAACCAGATCACTGACTCTGGAATAGACATACATTCCAAGAATGAAACACCACGTCTCAGAAGAAGGTTGGAGCGAGACTCTGTCGAAAAAAAAAAAAAAATGAACTAAGAATGACAACTGTCTCATGTGCTGTGCAAAGAAATGGGCAGCAAATTTACAATGCTGTTCTCCCTACTGAAGCCTGCTGGTTATTGCTGAGGAAGATGCTCAAGAGACCTGGAATGAAAGAGGAATTAGAAATATTTATTTACAACATTAATATCAATATGGATCGTTTCAGGGATTTCAGGTAGCTTAGTTCAACAGCATGCACAGTGTCTTCCCTAGTTTGAGCTAGATGAAATGTGGCATAAATAGCTTGATCTCTAATAGTTTCATTCTTTATAAACTTGATTACATCTTTTCTTGATTTGAGAAATAACTTAGTGATGTATCATTGGGCATGTTTGAAAAGTACTGAATAAGCCATAGCCAAACATATAGGACTGATTTTCAGAGCTCCATTTAATTCAGCAGAGGATCTGGGTTCCATCTGCTGCAACCTCCTAGGTTCAAACAGTCAGCATACCAGCCATTTCCTGAAAATGTTGCTCAATTAGCATCCAACAGGCTATGAAAAGTAGTGTGAAACTCACTTCTCACTTTAGTGAGACGTTTCTTCATATTTTCTAGATCTACATGTGAGCCAAATAGCTAGAACCATTTCACAGAACCACCAAACATACTTGCTGTCACTTCTAGTTTCGTGAGAATAAATCACGGAAAAGAAATCAGGATGCTGACCTATGTCACGAGCAAGATCTTGGTGAAAAACTGCAAATGATCTGCCCCTCTCATTGATTTGA